CGGGGGCAACACTGAGGGTTGCGATCCGTTGCCGGACACGGAAAAAAGACAAAAAAGAAAAGAAAAAAAATGATTTGTCTTTAACGAAATGGTAGGGATAACAAATGGTAATTTTTTTAATGTCCTTAATTGACAAAATTTCAAGTGGCAATCTTATGTTCTTTTCCAAAATTAAAGTACACACACACACACACACACACACACACACACACACACACACACCCTTCCATGAAACCCAAAAGCCTAGAAATTCTTGCTCTCCGGAACCCAAATGTCAGTCTCTTTACATTTTTTCATTTTTCCTATGGCTGCAGCATGGCCAGATCTCAGTCAGAGACATGGAAGAACGCACTCTGAATGTGTGATATCCACCTCACTTGGGGGTCGGGGGTGGGGAGTGGGCATGAATCTGTGGGCATGGTTGGCCCTTTGGTTATTTCCTGACACTGACAGCATGCTCCCTGTGGGCAGGTACAAAGCTCCTGCTGGAGGCCTGTGTCCAAGCTAGTGTGCCAATCTTCATCCATACCAGCTCCATAGAGGTAGCTGGGCCCAACTCCTACAAGGAAATCATCCAGAATGGCCACGAAGAACAGCACCACGAAAATACATGGAATTCTCCATACCCATACAGCAAGAAGCTTGCTGAGAAGGCTGTGCTGGCAGCTAATGGGTGGACTCTTAAAAATGGTGGCACTTTGTACACTTGTGCCTTAAGGCCCATGTATATCTATGGGGAAGGAAGCCCATTCCTTTTTGACATTATGAATAAGGCTCTGAAGAACAACGGGATCCTGGAAGACACTGGCAAGCTCTCCATCGCCAATCCAGTCTATGTTGGCAATGTAGCCTGGGCCCACATACTAACCTTGAGGGCCCTGCGGGATCCCAAGAAGGCCCCAAGCGTCCAAGGACAGTTCTACTACATCTCAGATGACACACCTCACCAAAGCTATGATAACTTGAATTACACTCTGAGCAGAGAATGGGGCCTTAGCCTTGATTCCAGAATGAGCCTCCCTTTATCTCTGAAGTATTGGATTGCCTTCCTACTGGAAATAGTGAGCTTCCTGCTGAGTCCAATTTACAAATATCAACCCCCTTTCAACCGCCACTTAGTGACATTGTCAAATAGTGTGTTCACCTTCACCTACAAGAAAGCTCAGCGAGATCTGGGATACGAGCCCCTCTTCAGTTGGGAGGAAGCCAAGCAGAAAACCACGGAGTGGATTGGTTCCCTGGTGGAGCAGCACAAGGAGACCCTGAAAACCAAGACTCAGTAACCCGAGGTGACAGGTATGCGGATAAGGGTCTTGTTAGGAGATGTCTGTCAAGCTCTCCCCTTCTGGCTTCATGCAGAAAGTGACATGGGCACGAGCCCAGGTCCTACTGCCTCCCTTTTACACCATGGCTAAGTTATTGTCTTCCTCATGTCACCCGAAACCTTCCCAGTCACTGGCCCAGCCAGAAGCTTTCTGCCCTAACCATCAACCAGAGGACAGACACGTGGAATTGCTTCAGCTGCCGTTACCAACATCTCAGCTGCTGGTTCTGAACTATTCAGGGCTTTTTTTTACTTAGAGTTTTGCCCATTAGTACCATTTCTTCTCTTAAATGCTAAAGCATTTCTTTTCTTTTAAAAATTCTTAATCCTTCAGACAGCTTAGTGAAAGAACAATAAATGTTTTGATGCCTAATCTAGAGAGGTGTGGCTTATGTTCATTAATATGTACTTTCCTCCTTTCTTTTGTATCACCAGGTATCACCATCTCCAATTTAGAAAAGTAGCATGGAACTGGGGTGGGCAGAGTGGTCGTCAGGGAGGGAAGGTGGGAACTGAGATTGGCTAAGCACCTACTATGTCTCAGACATATACAAGAGGTTGAACCTATCACCTCACCAGAAACTATGAGTTAGGATTACTATTCCCACTTTTGATGAAGAAATTTGTTCACAGTCACACTAGCTGGAAGTGGCTAGGTCAGTCCACCAGGAAGACAGACTTAAAAGCCCCAGTCCCCTTGGGCTGCCTCCTTCTTGCTCAGTCCTGTGCAGGAGACTTCGGAACCCAGGAGAAC